TGAGCCTGACACCTCTCGAGTGTCATTCGGTGCAGATTAAGTTGAGCACGTTCCCTGAATTGCTGTTTGTCACTGGATCTCGTCTAGAATCTGCTCAGGTCATCAGGCGTTGCTCTCAGTCGAGTAACTCATACAATTGAAGGTCAGCGTCGATATCAATGGTGCAATAGCGGTTTTGTTTTCCCGACTGATGCGCTGTACTTTCAGTCATACGATATTGGATGAAAAGTAAAACTCGTCATGTCGCGAGAAATATCGGATTGTTCGGAGTGTAGAGTTAAGAAAGGAAGCCAGTTGTACGCGCACCTGTTCGATAAACACAACTACACTAAGGAAATGATCGAAAGATTGAAGAAGAATGCTGATGTGCAGTGTGATATATGCTGCTCTTTGCATAGCTCGGAGGAGGGTTTGAAACGTCATAAAAGAAGAGTGCATGGAGACATATTGGCGAAGCACTATAACATACAATGTCCTATGTGCGAAGCAAGCTTTCAGGTAGCAACACTTTTTTTATGGCGATCGCAAGAGTTTCGTAATTGCGAGAATTCAGAATCATTGTCATTTGGTTGAACACGCAGAATCTGATCATGCAGCGTTTCCCGGACAGTACGTGGTCAAATCGTGTAGTTTTGAGTCCAAGGGAAAGTTCGAGGTAATACGTACAGGTCAAATAATGAACCTTCAGCTCAAACAGGCATTCTTCAGGAATGGCGCAAGGAAATTGAAGAAAAGAACGTGCTCAAATGGGTTGGCCTGCAATAAGAATGAGAAGGTTACGTACTACAGATGCAGTCGTGCCTTTCCTAGACCTCATTATGATGCCACGAGGGCCGGGCCGAGATCCAAGAAAGCGACAAAATATTGTACCGCGTTTTTGCAGGTCTGTTTGTATCTGTAAGAATATCCACCGAACAACATGTGCTGATTGCAGGTGATAGAAGAAAATGGGATATTCCATGCCAAGTACTGCAGCGAGCACGCTGGACACGACAAAGAACCGGCGTACTGGCACTCGATTCTGAATCCGAGAGCACTATCGTCTCACTATTGAGAGAAGGGTTCACCACCCACCAAATTTTGAAGAAAATCAGAAGCGCTCTTCGAGGTACCGGAGAGCATCGCAGGTTATATTTCACTACGTCAAGAGACATAAGGTCAGTGTATGAAATGTACAGAAATGGATGCTCCAAGAGTGGTATACGCCTACCTTACGGAATTGCTTTGTAGAAATATTGCTATACTCAATAAAGTTCCACCTGGAAGAAGGCATGACGTGGACTTGTTCTCATTAAAAATGAGAATAGTGGATAAAGCAGACGACGACGGAATACAACTTTACATTCCTGCTATTGATGAAAGTGGAAGAGGGTTTTCCCTAGGTAAAAGAAACACTGAACATTCAACATCCAGCGCAACAGGTGTCCCTTTAAGCGAATACTTTTTCAGTTGTCATTACACCTATTCAAAAGGAGTGGCTTACGAAATACTCATCGAGGGCTATATGTATCGATGATACTTTCAACTTAACATGCTATTCGTTACGACTTGCAACAGTAGTCGTTTGTGATGAGTGGGACAAGGGGTTGCCTGCAGCGTTCCTTCTGACGAATAGGTAAGAAATGTAATTTGCAGCGGGCAGCATATGGCTTTCTATGAAGAACTTTTCAGAATGACAGAGGAAGAAACAGAATTGTTATTCATGGAAATTAAGAAGCTGGTCCCCTCATTCGACCCGACTTATTTCATGAGCGATGATGCGAACTCCTTTTTTAATGGATTTCGCCGTGTCTTCCCTCGATCGACAACAAGAAAGTTGTTGTGCGTGTATCATGTCGTTAAAGCCATTGAAAGGCAATGCAAATCCAAGTTACATGATGTCAGTTTGTTTTTTACTCGTCCACGGAAACTTTATTAATAATCACTTTTTTCAGAAAACTTTGCTCGATTCCATTGTAAATGCAATACGCGAGCTTTGCCGGACCACTAATCAAAATGTTTTTGCTGCAAAATATTCTGAACTTCTCGCCAAACTCAGGGAAAGTGGAGAAAAAGAAATGCTTGATTATCTTGAAAGAACGTGGTAAGTAGTATATACAGAAACTCCTTACTTTTCGGGGGAAAGAAAATTCAGGAGCCCACGCGCACATGAATGGGGAGCATTCGCTCGTCGTTATTCATCGATGAACACATCTATGCTAATAGAACGTTTTCATCGGAGGCTAAAACACGAAGTCTTGGGCACGAAAGGCAATGTACGGGTTGACACCTTATTGGATGCATTAGTAATGATGGTTCCAGATATGGAAGAAGAACGAAAAATAAGGGTGCGATCTCATTCTTCAATCCTCTTCCCTGCGTTGGCATATGCATTTGTTTACAGATGTCCAGAGGCGTTTGGGAAGGACGATATCGTCTAAAAGAGCAACATCGAAACCATGCCCTCGCGATTAAGTTGTACGACAAAAAGAGAGAAAGGGTTTTATGCATTGGCAATGGTCGTTGGACTGTCACTGACGAGCGAGGAACTCATTATATAGAACAGCGCACCTGCATTTGCGATTCCCAGGTCCGCCATCTTTTTAGTGCACAGATTTTGCTTCTACTATGAGGAACTTTCAGCTCAATAACCACTGTAACAAGGACAATTGCGGTGCGTGCCCCTATGGATATACTTGCGACTGCCAGGGCGATGCCAAATCAGGGATTTCATGTATTCACATTCATGCCGCGTCGTTATTCGCGCCAGAAGGTTGTGTTCCAGGAATATCTAGCGCTGATTATGGATGCAAGCTCTTTTTTCAGGGAAAACGGCAACTTTCCATGAATACGAAGACCTC